AGATTTTTTGCCAATTTTAAAAAATGGGACTCTGTGTCACTTCTGAGGCACATGGGGCTTGCCCCTCTGCACCTCTTGACTCCCCTCACCAGTCTTTTTAGCCATCCCTGCCCTCTCAGCAGCCCAGCCCCTGCCCTCACCAGGTACCCCCTGTCATTACTGCCTGTAGCCCGGCCTTTGACCTGATGACCCAGTCCTGTTTTCACCCTCTTTCCGGCTTCTCTGGTCATGGCACAAATTTCCATTTGGAAGGGTACTCAGGACAAAGGGACCCACCCAGGACCAAGAGGTTTCTGACTCCCTTACTCCCTTCACTTAGACATTGACAACCTGAAAAGCCTATACTTCACCAGTGGGCTCAAAATGTTGACGATATCTCTGAGTGACAATTGGGAGAATGGGTTTGATTTGGTTTTCTCCCAGGTTTCTACTCTCTAGAGACCCTTTACGATTTATTCCTGTGCCTGTATCTCACATTAGAATTCCCTAGGATTCTGGGGCCAGAGCACCTTTCAGTCAGTGCTCTCTGGAGGGAGATATGCTTATTTCTGTGGAACAGATCCCAGCTTGAACTTCACAGCTTGAATCTTGCACTCTCGCTTCAGACCTGTTTCCCCCATATGACAAACAAGGGGGCCAGAATAGCTGATATCTTAGGGCATCTCCACCTGTGACAACCTAGGGAGCCATTTCCTCAAGCCTCTTGAGGGACCCCCTCCTTCCTTCCGTGAGCTCCTCCGAAACTAAATCATCTTATCCACTCACATCCAACATATGAACCCTCTACAATATCCCCATTGAGTAGTCATCTGCCGTCAGCTGGCTTGTCTCCAGTGATAGGGAGCTCACTCCTTCCCTGTGGGAGGCAGTGTGGTTCTGTGGAAGGAGCCCAGGCTCTGGGTTTCAGTTCCAGCTCTGCCCTTCCTTCATAGTGATACCTTGAGCCAATCACTCCATCTCTCCAAGCCTCAATTTCCTCATCTGCAAACTGGGAGGACTAACATCTACACCAGAGTATTGCAGAAAGTGAACGTAAGAGCACATCGTGTGCTCATGCCACGCTAGGAAGTGTTCTAAATGCTTTGTTCGTACTTTTCATCTGAAGAGGCAGGTAGCTTGGTAACCATCATCCCAGAAAAGAAAACTAAGAAAGTTCAAGATGTTAAGGGACAGAACCAGGATTCGAATCAGCAGCCTGGCTCCAGAGCCCTTGAGCTGAACCACACTGTTCTGACTGTTCAGACAGAGGAGATGAAGGGCTTAGCACAGGGCCTGAGCCATAGCTGCCCGACTGCACTGAGAGGACCAGCAAGACAGGCAGAGAGAGGGAGAGAGAGGGAGAAATTCGGCCTCCAGAGACACAGAGTTTTGCACAAAGAAAAAAAAAAGAGCTATTTTAATTTCAGCGCACATGCACGTTTTGTGTTCTACAGTTTAGGTATTGTTTTTATTTTGAATTACATATGGGGGGTGAGGCTCCATGTAACTTTTACAGGCTTGGCACCTCCACAGGTCATCATCTGGGCCTGCATCTCTCCCAGCACAGCTGATCCTCTGTGGGTCCATCAGAGATTATGAAACTTCTCTTCTTGCCAGGAATCCCACATCTGACTCCCATAGATCCCAGGCCCCCTCCCTTTCTCTGCCCTGGAGGAGTCCTGCTGAGATCCTGACACAAGGGTCAGTAATCATAGGCCCCAGCAATGCCCATAAGTCCCCACATGGTAGGAAACACTAAATGAATATGGGACAAAGCAGGGGATGGGTCAAACTTCCTACAGCTTCTGGTGGCCAAGAAGGAAGAGGACAGACCAGCCAGGCTATGTCCTGGGCCCGAGCCACCAGGGGGCACCTGACTCTGACCAACCTTACCTGACTCAGCATCTCCAATCCAGGGGCTCAGGAAGCACCCTTTGAAGCCCTCCAAGGTGATTCTAATGCAGCCATGCGCACACTACCAGTCCTCCTCTCCCCACTCCAACACACAGCCAGTCTGCACAGCAGCCAGCTAGGCTGGCTGCCCATCCCCTTCCCCACTGTGGGTTTATCCAATCCTCTGCAGATGAAAACAATTCCCTCCATATTCCCACTTCCCCACCCCTCCTATGGTTCCCCAAGCCCATGCTCTTCTGGGGATCCCAGGATCATTCCAGAGCTTTACCTCTTTACCACCCATAATCTACCTCATTTGAGTCTCACAACTGCGCTGCCTGTGGGGAAGACCATGGGGCAGGTATTATAATCTCCTTGGCAGAAAAGGAAACTGAGGCACAGAAAGGGAATGAGCTAAGGGAACACAGTGCAAGGTAGTGGTGGTGCTAGAGCGAGAGCCAGGGCTCCTGATGACCAAATCACTCCAGGGCATGCCTGAACTCAAGCCTATGGGTGGGCAAGGGACCCTTCCTTCCAATCTCCTCGCTAGGGGCCACCGGCTTTGAGAAACCCTCGATGGACCGTGTTTATCCCCAGACAAGCCAAGCACAAGGACACAGACACCCAGTGTGGTACAAAGTATCTTTAAGTGGGGTACATGCGAATATCATCTTCTGCCAAGCAAGCTGAAGGAGCTCATCCCTGCACAGACTGCACCCAGCTGGAGCCCCAGATTTGCTCTTCTCTTTCTGGAAAATGCTTCCTGACAAGCAGCTTGCCTTCAGCACCTGCCTGAGATTCTGCCCCAGGGAAATCTGCCTGGGTTTCCATGGGTTTCCATGGGCTTCCATGGGCTTCCATGCCATGCTCCCCTAAGCTGGCAGAGCACCCTGGTGGAGAAGGGGACAAAGCAATGCAGCTTTATCTCGCCAGCCCCAGGGTTCCTGCACATGACCCCTTAGCACCTCCTGCACACTGGAAGCCCCAAATGCAATCCCAGCCTCAGGCTCAGACACACTCAAAAACAGGGGCCATCAGACCTGCACCTTAACCATTCTTCCCACCCTTGCCTGCTGGCCACCTGGTCAGTGGCTTCCCAGCCAGAGGCTCCAGTTCCTCAGGTCTCCTCCTCTTCTACTGGTCCAGAAGGGAAGCTAACTGGACTGGTGGGAGGAGACAGAACTCTGTATTGTGGGATATTCAAACTGAGCATGTCCATTTCCTCTACTGTCACCCCAAACATCTGTAAGCAAGGGACAGAGTCTGTGCTGGGTCAAGGCTGAAAAAGGAAGGGCCTTGGCACTGGTCTGAGGGGTCTCCCTTGCCCAGTACAAGGGATTTCAATCCCCTCCTCGCCCCAAGCTTCCCCAGCAGGCCTTGGCCCACCAGCCACAGGGTTAAATTAACGTGGAGGTGGGATAGGAGGAAGGGGATGAGATTTAATATTAATATCCTGGTTAGGTGACTTCTCCCAAAACACACAAAAGCCCAGAGAGGGGATGACCTAGGGGCAGGCCAAGGAGTGGATGAGGATGAGGGACAGGAAGAGATCAGTAAGCTCAAGAGACCAGGGCTCTTCCCCTTCAGGCTTTCCTTGCCCCGGGCAGAGACCGCCTGGAGGGTTTCTGGCACATTCTACTCCTCTTGGCATCACCACCACCCAGCACAGGTGCCACGGGACACCTCCTTAAACATCTGTGGTATGCGTGTGAGCTGGACCCTGGGGCTCTGGGTCCAGAGTCCAGTCCTCCTTGGTCACCCTGCCTGGCATTGCGAAAAGATGGGTCCTCACGTCCTCAGCAGGAACTCCTGGCTCTGCAAAGAGACAGCAACAGGAGCAGGGTCAGGAGAGGGAGGGAGGGAAGGTATCCCAAGGGTGAGCCACCAAGTTGGGTGCAGGGCTCAAGCCTGAGGCTTCATTTTTTCTGGGGCAAGATCCCATCTTCCCATCCCCCAGGATAGCCTCGCCCCTTGGCTCTGACACTCAGTGAATCAGAGACAAATCCCTGAGGCCTCTGCTTATTTGCACATGCTGTTTCCTTTGCTGATACCTTCTTCCCTTCCTTTTTCCTCCCCACTGTCATCTGGCTCATCATTTCATCCTTCAGGCCATCCAAGTAATTGGTGCCTGCACGAAGTGATCCCAGATCCCCTGTGAAATGTGGAACCCAAAGAATTCAGCATTCACCCCCAGGGCAGCACCTACTAAGCTAATATTGTCACTGGCTATTTACACGGTCACAGCACAGACTCTCTCGGGACTGAGTAGGAACCTCCAGCCTGCACTAAGCTAAGATCAAAGAAGGGGGTCTTTGGTGGGGGCAGAGCAAGAGGCAGAAACTGTTAGCATCGCCAAGCACAGGACTTAGGCTGTAAAGGTTGGTCCTAGCAGGAGGGAGATTATATTTGTCTTGTAAATAAATCACCCTGAGACCAATGAGGGCCAGTCTCCTTCAACCCAGACTACCCCACAGCTTTTCATGGGAACTTATCCAGCCCCCCAGCTCCATCATAGGGAGAAAACTGAGATGGAACAATTGACAGAGGAAGGGGTGGGGCTGGGGGGCAGAGTGATTAAAGACTAAGGTTGGGCAAGAGTAAAAGGCAGGTCAGAGAAAAGAGGGTCCCACCATCCCAGGTGAAAGTCTAGATGTGGGAGTCTGGGCGCAAGGAGTCAAGATCTGTTTAATTTGACGTTTGAACTGCAAGGCTTTCACATAATGAGCTGTAAGTTAAGGGTTTACTTTAGCTTGTGTTCACCACACTTTTTAGGGCAGAGTGAATCCCTGCTTTATCCCCATCTCCCAGCAAAGCAGTTGCTCAATAAATGTTGGTCGAATGAATGAATGAGTGAATGAGTGAATGAATCCCCCCATGCTCACCTGACAGAGAGCAAGTGCTCTGTAAATGTTGAGCTTAGGAAGTGTGTGCGTGTGCGTGTGTGTGTTGGGGAGGGCATGACCTATCAAACCCACACTCTGGGTCCCTGCTTCTGCTGGGGGTTGGACCTCAGTCAGTCACAGGACAGATGCCCAATACTGAATAGGCCCCTCCTACCACAACCCTGGTGCCCAGATTCCCTATCGGCTTCCACCCCGCTTCCTCTGGCCACACCTGGTAGACGAGGGTCAGGTCAAGAGGTGAACGAAGAGGATGGCCAGGCCGATGTTAAGCAGGATCACCATGCAGATGAGGACAGTGTTGGGGACCTGGGAGAAGGAGAGAGGCTACCTGAATCACAACAAGGCTGGACAGAGGAGCAGAAACTTCTGGAAGGACCCTCCTGAGAGCAACCCATTTTGTTCCCTGCTGTATCCTGTAACCTGGGTGGCAGACCTTCAGAACCGGAAGGATTCTTGGAAAGAATTAACCAAATCCTTCAGGGTCCAGAGAGGGACAGGAACATGTCCCAAGTCACATGGTGGGCAGAAGTGGCCCTGGAACCCAGGTACCCTGCCTTCCCGACTGCTAATTCCTCTTGGGTCACATTCGTCAGTCCCTCACAGCCTAATTCACTCTTTGTTCCTGCTGTTCCTAGCGCCCAGCCTCCCATAAGCCGGGAGGTCCACAACGCAATCCTGGTGGGGCCCTTCCTCCACCCCCAGGAAGCCCTCCCTGCTACACCTGGTAGCAGATGCTGCCGGTGCCCAACGCAAATCCTCCTGGCCCGGCAGGTGCATCCACCCTCCAGCTGCTCATGGCTCCCAGCTGCTCCCTGTTCCAGAGAACTGCCTCTGTTGCCGGAATAGCAAGGGCAAAGGTACCTGCCTGTCGAAAGGTGGGAGGACGCTGCGGTGTCACCTACGCGCCAAACTCCTCTGTGGATCAGGCCAAGGCCACACTGGAGTAACCCACAGGCCTGCTGGATTTGCCCCTGCCCTATCCTGCTTTCGTCTCTCCCCACCCCCAGCAAACCCTCCCTCAATCGCCTGCACCTGCCTCCAGCCCTACGACCTCCAGGTAGCCTGCCCTTAGCCTCTACTCCTTACGCCAACAACCTCACCTCTTCCACCTCCACCTCTGCCTCCGCCGCCAGCGCTGCCTCCTTCCGGGCCTTCTTCTTGGTCCCGGCCTTGGACAGCCCTCGGGCCTCAGTCTTGCGGGCCTTGGCCTTGGGCTCGGCTTTGGGGACAATGGGCTTGGGCTCCAGCTTGGCGAGGGTCTCGGGCGCAGGCTCAGGGCCTCGGAGCGTGGGGGGCTGCATCGGGGCGGTGGCCGGGGTCGGGGGCGCGGACTCGGAACCCGAGACCTCAGGCTCGGGCTCGGGCTCGTCTTCGAAGGGCGGCGGCTGGGGCGGCGCGGTGCGCACGGCGTAGCTGTGGTAGCCGCGGTACAGC